AAAAAAAAGGTCACGTCTCCCGAGGCTCTGGCCTGGATCTAGGCTTGGGTAGTCCATGGTACATTTGTAGTTAGCGACAATACGGAGCCGGTCATCCAGGCTACCGAAGCTGGATGACTCAAGAACTCAGTACATACATACAGTGCCGATTCATAAATTCTGCAAAAAGCCATTTTGTGCCGGTTTGTCGTATACGTCGCTATGTACTGCCGAAAATTCACTATACTAGCTTTGTATTCCTGTGGTTTAGAAGCAGTTTTATTTTTGGCCTGAATTTTTTTTATTGGCCCTTGCGCACTAGTTTGGGGGTCTTCAGAGGATGTCATCCATAAAATTAAGTCAGCGTGGCCTAACTAAAGAGAAGACTGGTGCTGTCATGTTTAGTCCGAGTCGCTGTCCTGGTATGCTGGCACAGGTTTGGTCAGGCGGGTTCTCTCCTCGTTCCTTTCATTGTCACTCCTGGAGATTGTATTGAATTATTATATACAAGTTTATTGCACATACATGTGACCATGAAAATCATGAATATTATATATAGAAGTACTGCAAAAAATAGTTATTTACAGTTGTAAGTAGTGCATTTAAGTACGTAGCTTCATTACAACATATTTAGCCAAGCACACAAGGTCACCCCTACTCTTCTCCATAAATGCATCACTTTTTTTTAATGTTGAATAGGAAGCGTAATGTTAAAAATTATTAGTAATACTCTATGTACAAAGTTATTGATAGGAACTTACCCATATATGACTTCATCTTCTGAGTCATTCAGCATGGAGAATGCAGGGTTGTCTTTGAAGTGGGATTCTGTAAGACATGTAAATAATTGTGTTGAGTTTCTACCTGGAACCAAGAAAAATTCCCTTAAGCCTTGGTCACAACCCGCCGTACGTGCTTATTCTACGTGCAAAAACGTGGGCAAACACAGGGCATCCGTGCGTGGTGAGTACCACCTCTGTACGGAATCCTACGGATTTGATAGCACGCAGACACGCCGTAGAACTTAAAGTGCATGTAAAACTTTTTCTGCGTGCGGTCTGCGGATTCATCACCCGTACGTGCGAGTACGAGCGACATGCGTGCCCCGTACGTACCATACGGAAGAAGCATGTGTGAGTACGGCCTCCTTATAGTAAAGTTGCAATCGCACAGAGATCGTACATTGTAAGCACGTACAATTCAATTACCACTTGTGCAACGAACGATGCACGCAACCGCTCACGGCCATACGTGGCGTGCAGACCACACTCTTACACCTTGTGCAACCGTGCGAGTGACGTGCGTAGACGCCAGTCCTTCCCCACATTTTCAGAAAAAAAGTAGCAGACGTAGCCACCCAAAAAACGTACCGACAAAGGGTTGTGACCAAGGCTTTAGGAAACCATCAGTACTGAAATGAGACTGATCAGTACTTATAATTAGTACTGATTTGCTTCTGATATGCTACTGATATGGCAGTAACTTATTATTCACAAAATATGCATTGCCAAATTTTCAGTAACAAGTCAGTGGCAGGTCACTCAGCACATGTAGTTGAAACAAAGAGAATCTTTAGTTATATAATATAGAAATCAGTAGTTGACAGTAGCAGATCAGTAGTAGATCAGTAATGGGATCAGTGACTGACAGTACAAGATCAGTAGCAGGCACACCAACTTTTGTATCACAGATGCCACATATGGCACACACATACTACAGAAAAAGTGTCATAGTCACTTCAATTGAGTATTAATTTTCTGAATAACTATTCTCCAATTGGCTGATAAATGAAAAATACTACACATAAAGGAATGGTAAAGTGTTATGTTTTTCTGGCTTCAGCAGGTTCTAGTATTCTTACCATGCAGGGCATTTTTGGAAGGAGAGTACACGTATGCCATGGTGTACAGGTAGAAGTTTAGCAGGCCGTAGAACGACAGGAACTCTGCAGGTATGAACTGTTAAGGAATTCTCCTGGTTTGTTAGAAATTATGGAACAATGTACATTACATGTAGCTACAATTACTGAGCATGTTGAAAGTACTGTACCTGCACAAAACCCATAATGTACAACAAATGTACGATACATTGTATTGTGCACCAGTACTTTGTCAGAACGTCTCATTTAAGGTCATATTCGTGTATTAAGGATGACATCCTTTCCATAGTTTTCAAATACTGTGTTGGAAATTATACCGTCTGTAATAACAAAGTTCTTATGCAACAACGTTGACCAAACATTCAACGAAAAGCATGAAAAAAACACGGTCAGGTTTTGCACAAGTATTCACTGCATTTTACAACATACATGTATACGAATACAGACAGGGACAACCTGACTTAAGGCTCTAAAAGGAACTATGCAGTGTTTTCACTTACAGTCATGAATGTTTATCAAAATATGTCAGTTGGCAAAGGATTTTTCTACTTTATGTACAAGGTATGAGACTAGATTCAGCATGGTAGGCAGAAAGGATATAGTTCTTGTAGTGTGTGGCCAAGTCAGCGACAAAGTTGTCCTGTAGTACTCCTGTCCCAAACCGCATCACAGTAATGGCAATACTAAAAGGGAAACAAAATCATTATAATTGTGATCTTTGTCGATATACATTTTGTAATCGGGATCTCAAAGGTAGACTCAGTGATTCTTTCAGATCGTAATCTTTACCCTAACATACATATGAGAGAACAATGGAAGTAAGATTGTGTTAAAAATTTGTTTTCCATTTCCAAGTTGTATGTAATATTTAAAATGAAAGCACAGTCTGCACAGCAACTAACATTTGAGAATAGTACTGTAACAATATTTTATTGGTATTATATGGATATGGAAAATATACCTGATGGCCAGCACTACAAACATCAAAGCTGTCAGGAACTTCAGTCTCAAGTCTGGAAAAAAAAATCTACAATTGAGTATGCAAGTGGTACTTACATGTAATATACTTTTAATGGACACCTCTGTATAATGTCAATAAAAATAACAGACCACTGTTATCATTTACCTTATTGTTTCAGTGTACTAGACTAAGATTGGTGCCATGCAATATTAAAGGTTTAATTTTCCACATTTATGGAAGGGTTGACATAATGATAACATACTAGTAACTATCACCTCTTCAAGATGTCAACCCTGAGACCAGACTGTGAGGTTTGAACCACTCACACTAGAAAGGACCCCTGCTCTTTTTGATAATTGTGGTGGGTTCTTTAACATACTCAAGGTGTGGATACCCTTAAATATTGGACCTCTGCTTTACGTCCTATCCAAGAGGATGTCCCTATCCTAAGCTAGGTACTCATTTGCACCTGAGTCAAGTGAGAAAATATGTGCCTTTCCCAAGGACACAATGGGGCCTGCCTGGGTTTCGAATCCAGAGTTCAAACCTTCAGATTCTGAGTCAACAACCCTAACCACAAAACCACCTAGCTATGAGTGAAGGTGTAAGATCCTTACCGAAGTATGGCATGGCACGCAGCTCGCTAAAGGCACGGACGATCAGGTACAACAGGTACAGCAGATACACCGAACCAATCACGAAGAAGAAAATCTGCATCCCCTACAGCAAAAACATTCAAAACACACAAGAATTTGGCACTGTGACAACAACATCACTTTTTTCAACAAACATAATCATAAAAGTAAATTGCAATGATATCAGCATGATATCGCAATTTTTCCTCATCCCCTTACATGTACATGTATATATAATCATCACAAAAACTGCTTTATAGTGAAATTTCTCACTTACTGTGAAGTTGACTGTGTCCACCTTGTACTGATATGTTGGATCTTGGAGTTCGTTATACCTAAAGAAAGGAATTTGAGTTCTAGTTAATTTTTAATTAAAGCAATGGCATTCCTAACCTGAATGGTACAGAATACAGCACAAGAACTGTACCTAAATATGAATTATGGCTTAGGAAAATTTTTATGTATGAGAGCTTACATGTATGTACATATACCAAGTGGTGTAGTACTAATATGAGCAAAACTGACTCCCAAGTTGCAATGCTTCTAGACAAAAATTGTTTCTAGCTAATAATTTTCATTATCCATTGAATGCTATACATGTACATTGTACTTGAAAATTGACTGCAGTACTACTTACTCCTGCCAGGAGGCGAGTGTAACTGCTGAGATCCACAGGAGCCCAACAATCAGAACCTTGGGCACGTAGAATGTCATGAATCTCCGCTCATACTGTCAGAACATGAAAAAATATGTATTAAGGTTTGACCTTACGAAGATAGCTGGAGATTATCAGTAAATTCTTTGCAGCACACAGTTTCCTAGAACATTATGACAATCTTTTTATAGCTACATACTATTTAGACAATTTAAATCCAGATCATATACTAGTTGTCAGGAAATTTTCTTTAAATGAGAGGGTGAAAATATATTTAGAGGTAAAGCAAAATTTCAAGAACAACTTAAACAGGCCTCGAAATTCATTTTTGGGAATAGGTGCACTGGTGCACCCAACCTAAAAGTTGGGCGCACAAAAAAATTATTAGGTGCCCAATATAAAATGAAATAAATGCATGCTAATATTTGGAGTTTTAAAAGTTCTGGTCAACCTTTTCAAATTCAAAAACCAAAAACAAAATTTTATCACTTTTCTGACACTTAGTCAATAATATACTGTACAGTAGTATACAAATTAATATATTTACATACGTAAACACACAAAAATACTTTATAGAACCAAGGATATCTGTGTATAATGTCCTTGATAGAACACATAAAAAAATTGGGTGCACAACTCCAATTTTTGGGCACATCAAGGTGCACTGCAAAAAAGGAACATGACATCATTCTTGCACCTTCAATCTGTGAAATGGCAAAGCTAAGATACCAGTGTGAATGTATGAAAAGCGCCACCTGTCTGATGCCGTGATAAGCGCAGAGCCAGAACAGCAGGAGTGCACAGAGGAAGGAGGCCTGGAACACGGCGTCAAACATCCCCGGCACCCAGCTGTTCACCAGGAAGGTCAGCGGGAAGATGGGGTCGTTGTACAGCAGGAGCAGTGGCAGCAGGATAGACATCCATCTGGGGAAAACACAGCACAGAGTCAGTCCAGTTTTGGGACTACGTTTTACTCTCTTTTTTTTAACAGCGCTATGGCAAATATGCTGATGTTGTTGCACATTGGCCCACCAAATCTGTAGTGTGTTTCTGGCACACAGTTAGACAGATTAGCCTAAGGCCACACCAATTTAATTTCTTAGTTAACAGATTTTTTAGAAAAATAATGTAGCGGGCGGGCCAAAAAAACAAACAGGCCTATAGGCATCCTATTATGGCCCAAAATGGTACGATAGGAGCCACGAAGTCAACACACCAGGCTGGTTCAAAATTTAAACAATGAATTTTGAACTTTTAATGATACCACTGCATTGAAAGATGGAATAACTGTGTGTGACAGTAAAAACTAGGAAGAAAAGAACTGTTTTCAACTGCTCAGGGCAAAATATTGAGCATTTTGCAGTTGAGTCTGAATTTTTATTTTTATTTGCAAATCAGAAAAAAATGAAGCAGGCGAATCTGTTAACCAACAAATTAAATTGGTGTGGCCTAAGACTTAGTAAGAGGCTCAATGTCCTTTCCTCCACCGTACAGGTAGGAAGTTGTGCAAAGTGCCTTTCCCAAGGGCACAACGTCGGGCCATGGTGAGAATTGAACCTGGGACCTATTGGTTCCAAGTCCAACGCTCTAGCTGTTGTGCCACCGACGTCACACATCTTATTCTCAACTTAAAGACATATAATGCAATTTCAGGGCAACAAAACCAGATTTCCTGGTCATTTTTTTATGTAGTAAGTTGAATCAACCCTATCCCATAGCATACTGATATCTGTGAGGCAAAAACCAATGTTGCTGACAGAAAACGGTTGCTTGTTTTATAGTATAGGCTGGTTCTAGCTATTTATGGGTGGTACCCAAAAGATGAAGAGATGCATAACGTAGCTTGTTTTAGGGCTATTCTAAAAGCTTCAAGTATGAATTGATGACAAAAATGTGCTAAGAAATGGCAGTAAATGTCAATATCAGACAGATTTGTTCACTCGTGCTTACTTTTGTTCGATGGACCAGTCACGTATGGAGAACCTCCTCAAAGAGTGGGCAAAGACGCACTGGAACATAGTCAAGACTTCTGTCAGTACATGTACATATGGACATCTTTTCATCATTTATCTATTATCATTTTCTATCAAAATAACAGAGTATAGACGGGAAAGACAATATTACAAGGAAGGAAGGTGGAGAATATACACACAGTACAAGTATGAAAATGTAAAAGTATGAATTTCAAAATCCTTACCGTGACCATGAATGTAAGCACTAGGAAGACAAATCTGAACCAAATCTCCAGTTGGGTGAAGGTTGGGTTGTACATCTTGAACTGCAATAAACACGGTTTAAATTCAAATTAATTGATTAAATTTTTTGAAATTGCAAGAGTGCAATACACGTGGAACACAGGCAGCTGTTGCTGGTGTTGTGTCCCACACATAGAAACAAATACAGGACAGACGATACTCATTTTCACTTGAGTTAAGTGAAGAAAGCTGTGTTCAGTGCCTTTCCCAAGGGCACAAGATCGGTGGCATGTCAAGACTTGAACCCGGGACCTCTTGTTTCGGAGTCGAGCACTCTGCCATTGCAACATGCACACGACCCACTATTTCAACATGTAGCTGTAACTCTACTATTAGCTAAAATGTGGATACTACTACAGTAAGTACAGTTTGAATTGTCTATGAGTATTATTTTACATTACTTTTAACATCTCATAATCATCTCAATGTCATTATTGACTCAATGTCAATTGATCAATTGTCTAACATCTGAAATGCCTTTTCTTATCAAAACTGGAAGGATAAAATCTTGTATGTCTGTACTACTCACCGAGAACTCTACCTCCGTGACCGGGTACTTGTCTGATGATATCCCAAAGAACACGACCCTGACCAGGTACGTGGTGAAGTCCAGATATCCCAGGTGTAGGATTACAAGGTCATTACACGTCTGAAACAAAGGTCATACACGTCGATGAAGGTTAGGCCACACCAATTTAATTTCTCGGTTAACGGATTTGCCCGCTTCATTTTTTTCTGATTTGCAAAAAATTTAAAAAAATTCAGAATCAACTGCAAAATGCTCATATTTTGCCCTGAACAGTTGAAAACAGTCCTTCTCTTCCTAGTTGTTACAGTTATTCATCTTTCAATGCAGTGGTATCATTAAAAGTTTAAAATTCATTGTTCAAATTTTGAACCAGCCTGGTGTGTTGACTTCATGGCTCCTATCGTAACATTTTGGGCCATTATAGCATGCCCGCCCGCTCCATTATTTTTCTAGAAAATTGGTGTGGCCTTAGACATGTATATACTATTAGGTAATAAGATACAACAAAAGACTCAAGCAACTGGATATGATTTTGGAAACGGTCAGATTTCACTACCTTTTGTCATTGACACTGGAGAGTTGTCAGAAAGGCAGGTTTATATATAAGCCAGAACTATTGATTGATATGCAAATAAGTGAAGACAAATTTTTCAAACAATATTTTTTCAAACAAATGCCATACAGTTAGAGAAAGTGTTTAAAGGTAAAACTTTTGTTCCAACACAAGGTATACTGGTAGTTTATCCCTAGAGCTTGCAACCAGTCATTCTGGTCTTCTTCAGTAGACTGACCCAGTGAGACTTGTCATGTGGCTTCTTTGAGGCGTGACGTCAACACTGGGTCAAATGTTTAGGGAAGTCACGTGACAAGTCTCACTGGGTCAGTCTATTGAAGAAGATAGACCAGAGTGACTGGTCGAAAGCTCTAGCTGAGAACAATCCCTTGTGTTGGAACAAAAGTTTTAACACAAAACAAAATTGTAACTACATTTTTGTACCATCACAGGTGAACTTTCATGACAGTGAGGTCCTGTGTGTCCTTTTTTTGTGAAATCTTGACCCTCTGAAAGTGAAATGCAACTTCCTGCATTTTGAGGTGCAAATTTTGCTGATAGACTAGTAATAAACTTACTGCAATGATATTTCTTCCTGTATATCTTTACATGAGGATAGGGCAAAATTTTTGTCCATCATTAGCAGAAAAATGCCATCAAATGATGCAAAGACGGATGCTGGCTGGGAATATTGATGTAAACTCATATTTCATTATATCAAAGTATGAGGGCCTGCATGGGGGGGTAGTGATTACGAATTACGCCAAATTTTCGCTACCGATTACGAATTACGGCAAAGTTTCAGAGCTGATTACGACTTTACGCTTTGCGGCTAATGTACTGTTTAATAATATGAATTACGTCAATTTTTTTTACGGCTGCCTACGGTTTACAAAGAATAAAAATGCCTGACTACGCCTTATGGAAAAGGGCATGCAGGCCCCCAAGTATAAGAAAAGAGTGGAATTCCTTACGTCCTTGTTACAGTGCAGTGTTCTGGAGTGGTTGTGTGTTCTGTCTCCTGTCACCAGGACTGAAGAGTCGGCAACTTGGCCTTCCACTACAACACTCATGGTGAACCTGGTCTTGATAGTGTCACCTGGAAACAGGCCAGAAAAACATATCTTGCAACATGTTTCATTGATATTAAAACCCTAAGTCCTGCGGGGCCCATATAATAATATGGGTTGCACATACAGTACCATCTATATAGCACCCGGTGTATGTACAATTTGGGGGTATTTCTTGTGCAACGCATCAAACCGCAACAAAACCCAACGAATGCGGAAGTAACTACACCACCGCAGGGCAAAAAAGTCAAGGGTCTATGACCTGATTGAGACATCAAATTCTTTCAAAATAGTGTGTAACAAAAATGCCAGCAGGACAAGGGTTAAGGTTACACATCCAGGTACACAAGATTCAAAGACAAATTATTTTACTTGATTAATCATGGATCTCCGTAATTTATCCAGTACTGTAGTAGAGTTTGATTTGTCTTTGAAGAATTTCCAATTATTTGAATGTCTGAACTGTCATGCATTTAGGCAGAACATCTCTGTTTAAGGTCATATTCACTCACATATATTTAAGGATTATATTTGTCTATAGTTCTCAAATGTTGTGTAATAAAAGATATTGTCTGCAATGGGCAAATTTCTGATGCAACATTGAATAAAACACCAAACGAAAACCATGAAAAATTTGGTTTCGAGCATTTCGAATCTGCACAATCATTAAGACAAGGGTATGTGATGTACTTTTTGTGTAATGTTACCGTTATATATAGTAACCTAGCAATGTTTGATACTGCACACATGTACCTTTGGGATTTTTTATGAATATCTTGGATGTTAGCCACAGTTGTTGGTTGAAGGTGGACAGGGTTGGTGTTCGTAACTGGAACGGTCCAGTCTGGAAAAAAAAACAAGAAGAAAACACTGCATCAGTTGTTCTTAAGCTTCCCTACTACAGTGATTAAGTATGCGTGGATTTGCAGGGCTCAAAATACTGGATGCATATGCACCTTAGAGCAAGGAACTTTGGGGCTGTGCAGTATTTCATTTCTGATTTCTACTTGTACCTGAACCTTCATTTGCCTATGTACAAAATTATTAATGTACTAAGTTTAAAGATACTTGCATGTGACATATAGTGCTGCATACCTAAACCCATATTAGGTGCAGGTCCGGATTCAAGTCCAGAGGTTTAGGTTCAGTTCCGGACTTGTAAGTTCGGACCTAAACCCATGGCATATACAAAATTGCATGTTGGCAACCTTGCAATGTTGTCTGGGTGAAACTTTGGCCACATAACATGGAGGCCGACACTTGATGATGCCCAATGGCAATGTTTTCTTCATTTTGCAGCAAAGATTTTGCAATCTACGGAAGGTTTTAGGTGGTTTGGAAAAAAGGGGGGGTACGTGAAATGGTCTTTTATGGTAATAAGTCTGGACTCGACTCTTGACTTTTAGGTTTTTTTGGACTTGAACCTAAACATTCGGATCCAAGTCCAGTGAACCGGTATGCAGCACTAGTGACATACATGGATTTTTTTTCTGTACTAACTGTTACCACCTATGACGATTTGAAAAGAAATGATAGGAATGTTTTTTTTATTATGATCCATACTAACTCTTCCTAAATTCTGAGTGGTGCAGGTAAAATTTGTCTGGTGCAAGTAATTTTCAATGTCACCAATATGCAGAAAAAGATTTTGAGCCCTGCTTTGACGTATGTAGTTCGACAGGCTAGGTGAATGTCGAGTGTTTCTCAATCAGCACTTTACAACATAGCAACCAGTTCTTTGTGTTGTTCAACAACATGTGTACATACAAAGGTGTACTGTTAGGACAATGAATTTAAAAAAATTCCTGTTTCAAGAACGACCCTAGAAAAAACAGCCAACCCTAGCCTTTTTTTGTGTTGACCCCTTCAAGGGACACTAATTTTTTGAGCTGATCAAACTCTTCTAAAAATCTAACTTCATGATCTTACACCTGAGTGAAGAAACGTTGTAAAATCAGTTTTCCAACATTAACATTGAAAAAAATTACCTTCTGTATATGCAACATTAAGTGCAATGTTTGTGGAGCCTCACGGACGGTTCTAACCAGCCTAAAAAAATTTCCGTCATCTCAATCTTGTTTGCCATTGATATCATGTCAAGTGTAGTTGGTGTGATAATCCTAGGAAGTCAGGGAGGGGGCATGCTCCCCAGGGAAAATTTTGAAATCTTGACCTTCTGAAAAGCTGTTTGCTGCATTTTGTGGGGGCAATTTTTGCAGGTAGACTAAGCCAAGGAGGTTAAATACAAGAGGCTTGTATTTAACCTCCTTGACTAAGCTAAGTTTAATGACATTTCTCTCCAAATGCCGATTTTTGTCTGTCGAAGAGCAGATAATGGGCAAAACTTTCATCTGCCATGAGTGGTAAAATTCTGTCAAATGACAGACAGACGCTGGCTAGAACATTGGTTAGAGCCATTGATACTCACCGCTAAGTTTTCCACCTTTGGTGACTGAAGTGTGGAGGCATTCACATCATGCTCCGTCACAATAGGTGGACCTGTAGTTACATTAAAGATCAAGTTACAGGACTGCAAGGTATGTTTTCTTTAGTCAAGAGCAATAGTTTTTAACTACATGTTCAAGAAAGTTAATGGTTTTCGTTTGCACAAAAATATTAACATGTTTTGAACAAAATCCAATACATTTTTGCCTTTTAAACGTATAGCTGGTCTTCAAGAACATTTTGTGCTGTATATGCTATTAGTATGTAAAGGGTACCTGTAAGGTGTTACCACTATAGTGATTGTTTGCTTCTGAACATGCAGTATAACTATATAAGCACTTCGGCAGAATGTACTGTACAAAATATGACTACACATAGTGGCATACTTAGGACACGCCATCTATTATGAGTTTTCAAATGCTGGGTTGGGAAAGATATCATCTTCAACGGGGAAAATTCAGATGCAACATTGACCAAACATCCAATGAAAACCATGAAAAGTCTGTGTTTTGAACAGGTGCAGTACGTTCTGCCGACATGCTAGTACAGTAGCTCTAGAAATTGCACTACTACTATAAATTCAACCTTAATGCCTTAGGCCACACCAATTTGATTTGTTGGTTCTCTGATTTTTTCAGAAAAAGATATGAAGCGACAGGACGAAAAAAAAAAAACCAGATCTAGACATCCTACGATAGCCCCAAATGCTCAACGATAGGAGCCATGAAGTCAACATACCAGGCTGGTTTGTAATTCAAACAATGAACATTGAAATTTTAATCAAACCCCTGCATTGTTAGATGGAAAAACTGTAACTAGGAAGGCAAGGAAAATTTCTTCAACTGTTGGGGCAAAAATATTTTTGAGTTTTTGAATTTTGGAGTTGACTGAACCTGAATCCTTTTTTTTTTCTTTGCAAATCCCAAAAAAATGAAGCGGGCAATTCTGAGAACCAATTGATTAAATTGGTGTTACCTTACATACTAGTAGAAAAGGCATACAGACCACATGCAGTTAAGGTCAGCGGGTTGTTTTGTGTGATCATGATGTTGACTTAATTCCTGTGTATTCGTGAGTCTCGTGTTTACTTTACATGTATGTAGGTAAACAACAGGAGTGTTTACTCACCTGCCACTCCGATAAACACGGACACAGCGAAGCACATGAAGAACCCGGCGAACACCAGCACAAACTGTCGCTTACTGAGGGTGTACAACCGCATCTGTACGGACCTGGGGAGGGGGGCAACATATATAAAAAACACTGTTATAGACTATTACTAGTACTAAGGCAAGTTTCACCCTATCTGGTACACAGAACGATAATTTCCATGTATTGTTGTCATGTCCAACTCCCATATGCACTAATACATAGGTCGATTTCTCTTTATTTGATCCCAAAAGTAAACCCAAAATCATCCATACATGACTATACTGTAACTCATATACTAAAATATATTATAGATATAATATTTTGTAACTCTAGAATAGCTTTGTAGTCTAGTTGTTAATATACTGCCCACACATTGTACCAAGTACAATATTGTTGAGTAATAAAGTTCATTCATTCAAAACGTTATTATATAACATTTTTCTGTAATTTAAAGAAAACTTTCACTTTCATAATGACACTGCAATATCAAGTTTTCTATGGATAAATGTTAGTGCTAATGTTATATACACATGAATGATCCATAAAATTTTGCATGAGCAGAGATATAGAATAAGGAACAGTACATGTAGAAACACAGAAAAACACAGTACAAAATACATGTACAAATGTAGTTATATAAGACTATAATTTACAACACTTAACTGTTACATGTACATTGTAAATTGTAGTCTTAACGTTATATAACCAACGCTACATTTGTTACATACGTTTCAAAACATGCCTCACAGAGGCTAAACTATAATTTAGAAAATTTGTTTGTCTTACAGAACATATACTCATGTAATCCCTCTGCAATTTAGACATTTTCAACGTTTTAACACAAATCATGACGCAAAAATTAGGAAGAAAAGTAAAAGTGCCACCTGTTCAGGTGCAAACACCTGTTACAAGTTGACGTGGAAAAAATCGGCCTCTCAAAAATTTATCGCCAAAACAAATACATTTGAAAGCATAATACACTAGTTATAAAGCCGCGAATCGCTCTAAAATACTAGATACATACGACTCCATTGTTGATTTATGCTGGGAACCTCAGACGCTGAAGGTTAGGTGGAAGAAAGTGGTCGAAAACTTAGAGAAAGTTTTCTTCGGAGCCAAGTTGGTGCAAACGTCTACTCTGAATTCAACATGGCGGACAAGCGGCGCAGTGCGCATGTCAGTGACGTCATTGTGTACACCATAGCCGACGTTTTCCGGGTCACGAACCGGATATTCCAAAAATGGATAAAATAAATGAAAAAAATGATAATAACAAATTCTCATTTGTATCAATGATATTTTACAGGATCTACGCAATATCCTTGTTTGTACTAGTATATAAATATGGTATAGATTTTCCTCTACATCCATTGAAAATTTGTTTTTTCTAAATACAAGATTGGCTCTCAGGTGCAATAGTAAATTAGAAATGAATTCTCATTTGTATCAAGGACATTTCATAGGAATCTATTCAATACCCCTGTTTGCGTTTGCGTATCTAGATATGATAAAGATTTTCATTTACATTTAGAATTGCATTTTTTCTCAATACAACTTTATTTACAATGTTTGCTTAAATCAGGTGCATTTGAAATTTGGCAAGACAGTTTACATAGCCCTCAACCACAGTTTATACGAGTTACGTTAGAATGATGCTGTATTACAGTGTTCAAATTTTACATTTTGGGCAGGGGAGAGATGATTTCAGTGTACTCTTTCTGTCGACAGACAGACAGACGTTGGTTTTTATAGCATGATTGGCCCGGTAGTCTTTGCATAAGTCAGAGCAATGGCCTCCTAGCATCATGGTGGCTCCGGGCATTTGTCTGAAGGATAAATTCCAGGCGCCTATTTTCCATTGAACTAACGAGGATCACAATTAAGGGGACTTTACGTATAAAAGGCTTTACGTGTGTTGCCTTTTCAACCTTTTTTAACACAATTGAAAGGCACTTGATTGTCCAGTCTACATGTATGGTACGATGTTTTTGTCCTCATATGGTTATCAATAATTCATCTATGGAGAACATACTTTCCCTATGCATAAAATTAGAATGCTTATTAAATCATATATGAACGGAAAAATCAAAATATACATCATGCTTAGCGTGGTGGGCGTAAGAAAACGTACCTGTAGCAGCGATCATGGTTGTAGGATTCTCCGATGTGGGTGCCGAAATTACTGAACACGTCGCTAAAGCTTGCCAGGAAGGAGCGGAATTTTACCGTCCAAGGCGTTTCGTAGGAGGCGTAGCCTAGAGAGTCCATGATGGTACGACGTCAAACCGTTATGGAGGACAGACAACGTCTACAGATGCTTTATATCAACATCCCTGTTCAATATACAGGGATGTAAACCAGGGCTCCATATTGTCCACGCAGCGACGATTCTGAATAAATACGGTATCGGATGGATGGCGACCTGTTTTGAATTGCTAACACTTGACGACTGCGAGCGGCCGGGCTATTCGTTCGCTATTATTCTGGCTATTACGTCAAGGAGGAGAACTGAATATTAATGATGCTAACCCATTAAATCGCCCGCACGCATCTGCCGCATTCCCACTGGGCGCCGTGCTGCAGTTTCTAATAGTACCGGTAGATGTCATCACAGACCGAACAAATTAAATTCCCATTTCGACGTTAGACGTACTCTCCAAGCAGAGGTTTGGGTTTGGGGTTATTTTTAGCGTGTTTTTAGGCTTTTTTTATCGAGGTTTCTCTTATGCACTGAATTTTTTGGGGGGTGTGGAAAAAAATTTCAGTGCAAAGGAGAAACCCCGATAAAAAAAGCCTAAAAAACACGCCAAAAATAACCCCAAACCCAAACCCCTGCTTGGAGAGTACGTTAGACGCATTTTGAATGGTAGCGCTGAAAAAAGACAAAGCTACTTATAAGGAAGGAAACTATTGTGTTTTCACGTTAAATATTTCCTTCGCTAAGCAGGACAGAATGAAAATGAATGGGCAAAAGTTTGAATGGACTATAGTCGTTACTACTATTGAATGAAGTAGCGTTCTTGCCTTACATTCTATATATACCAGGCCCTTGAGATTTCAAAGCATTGAAGGTGCTATATTTCCCGGATCACATGTATACGGCGTGTATAGGCTTACATTCCTACAACAAGCCGAATGGAGTCCATTGAGAACACATGTTACCTACACCCTAGGGATTGTTTGTTCAAGAGCGATAGTGTGTATCCCGTCTTGGATACCGGCGCTACTGTCTTAGCCACAACACTTGCAACCAGGGAAGGAGTTGCTACTTCTTTTACTTCGTTTTTTCATTTATTTATGAAGATTTAACACACTTGAGGAAGGAATTGTCGTGACAATTGACTATCACCTCTTCAAGATGTCAACCCTGTGACCAGACTGTGAGGTTTGAACCACTCATACAAGGAAAAGGACCCCTGCTCTTTTTGATAAGTGAGGTGGGAATTCTTTGACGTACTCAATGTGTGGCGCTCCTTAAAAGTTAAACACCAGACCTCCGTCGCTACGTACTATCCGAGCGACCGAAGCTAGTCAAGTGTCAAGTGCGGAAATAGATCTAAAATACCTTTCCCAAGGACACAACAACGGGGCCTGTCAGGGATTGGAACCCAGAACCGTCAGATTCCGAGTCAAGAACCCTAACTACAAGACCTTTGCTTGATAGCGACCAGCCAGCCACCATGCGTAAGTCTCTGAAGCGGATCCTTCACCACTACAGACAGAAGCTAGTGGGGAAGGTTTACCCAAACGTGGCAGCACTGCTAGCCTGTCTCGTCACAGACGGAACCTTTTCACCAGAGGAAGAATTCGCAGTCTTGTCTCTCCCCAACCGTCACAACCAAGTCAGGGCCTTACTGGACATCCTGGAGACCAAGGAAAACAAAGTCTTCGGGTCCTTCACTAACTCTTTAAGGAGCATATGTTACACACATCTTGCCAAGACTCTTGAAGAGGACGCGGCTGAAGTTCTGACGTCACCACGGCAAGTGGACATTGAGATAACTCCAAGGACAGGAGAAGGTACGTACCATGACTTTTATGAAAAATTATATAATTTTTTTAACGAAGACACAAAATAACTCAGTATTACCAAAATCAAATGTTACCTCATTATTATTTTTAATGTTTTATTATTAATATTTTACCATGACTTTATGAAAAAAATTAAATAACGGAGACACAAAAAAACTCATTGCAGCATGACCAAATCAAATACTAAGTATTACCTTATGAGAGGTGTATACAATTATATCTTTGAGCTTCACGTTCGAATACACTTTTGTAAAGTGTAAAATGTTATGTGCCATTTTGCACTGGGTATCTGAAACGTTTAACAGGTTTGTTTATAACGAGTTGTAATGTGTGATATTGACGCCATGATATTCTGTAAGCTCTGCTCTTTGTTTGTTTGTTTCGCATAACCGGTAAAACGCGAGTGGAAATGGTTTCTGTTACAAACAAAATAACTTGCGCCATACTACACCAGTGGATCGGTTACTATGTTTCCTAGCAGAAACATGTATACATGCATGTAGGGTCCGGCTTAATGTTTTTATAGGTCTTTCTAAGGATGTCTTTGAGGCATGTTTGACTGTAGCCTGGATGCCAAACCCATAGCACACTGGACACAAAGTATGCTTGCTAGTGAGCATGCTAGTTTGACTGTGTCCCTATAAGCGTGTCCTGTAGACAGATCCTGTAGATGCATCCTGTAGATAGACGTAGCACAGAAATGTAACACCTGTTTCTTCTACACTTGTACCCAAGTTATCTAACTTAGTGCATTTGGCTCATGTAGAGCGTGAACATGCAATAAAGTTCATTGTCCTTGTTGTTCTTCTGCAGACGAGATGCCTAGTCCGTGGGAGAGGTTCGTCAGGAGGTACTTTGTGTCCAAGCGGTGCCAGGGTGAGCAGTTACTGACTGTGTGCTCCAACGAAGACGGTACATCCTCACCATACATCCAGGACGAGTTTCTGTGGGACTTTGTCTGCTCGTACTACGATCTTCACGACGTGCTGCCGAAATGTCTCACCTCTTTCACCGTACACTGTGTCACGGCAGGCGGGGACAGGCACCCTCAGAAAAACACCCTCGGGAAGCATAGCCTCTACTCCAGCCTCCTTGAGTCTCTGAAGGTGTTACCAGATACCAGCACACTGTCGGAGTCCACCGATGGGGATAGTTCACCTGGATTAACCCTTGAGATATCCGTGTACACCACAAAGACAATAGAAGAAGCAAAGGCCATGATCCTCCTTCTTCCTTACATGCCACGTCTCAAGGAGCTGTACGTCTTCAGGGTACAGATAGAAGACGAGACTGCAGCGGACTTATCCCAAGCGTTCGCACATCTGAAAGATCTGAGAGTTTTATCCATCCACACGTGCAGTCTGTCAGCCAACGGCGCTGGGATCCTAGGCGAGCAGATTCCAAACTTGCTGATGTTAGAAGAGCTGGTGATGGCCTTCAATAATGTGGGAGATGCTGGGGCGAAATCGCTGGGTAGGAAGCTGGGATATCTGAAGAGGATGAGAGTTCTGAATCTGCAAGGGAACGGACTGACACACGAAGGCGCCCTGGCAGCGTTAGAAAGCGCCCCACAGTTGGAGAAAGTGAAGTTCAGCCACATCAGCATTAACGAAGACGGGGCAGAGTCCTTGGGGGAGACCTTAGCTTGGATGCAGCAACTGAAAGCCGTGCATCTGAACTTCCTCAACATGTCGGCCCAAGCGTCGTCTGTTCTGAGCGGACACCTGGCACAGATACAGCAGCTGCAGGTGCTGGACATGGACACCTGCAGCTGTGAGCCAGACGTTAACATAACCGTCACGCCTTATTCTGGGTCTAGTGACTACAGCACAGCCTGACTAAAGTTGTGTAATGTTGCGTTTCCTGTTTTAGTGCTAAAAAATTAGAGTCGGTAGATAGGGATTATATTTATTACTCCGTGAAGGAGGTCAGGACCTCCGGACGGAGTGTTGTAATCGGCTGATTTTTCATGTTCGCAGTCAAAACACTGGGTTCTCTTTGTGTAATCGGCACGCAATTTTATACGCCGTCTGCGGGCATGCCCGTGTTGATGCACGAATGTGTATTTTTGCCGTTGCTGCTTTCGCGGTCAATGTAATATCGCAGACGCACCCCTACAATTACGAGGCGAATTGGAATGGTCCAGAAAAACGCGTTGTTTGGAATAGCAGTGGGGGGGGGGTAAAAGTTCATGCAGAGTACGGGGTTGGTTTTTATAAGTGGTTCCAGATGTCTTTGCCCATGGTTAAGAGATGCCAAGTTTTTTGGAAGATGTTCGCAGCCAAAACGCATTCTTCCGTACGTCGCATTTCTGTGTAATTTCGCATGTGGTGTGGCATTATGTCCGGGATGATGCACGTCTTTTTATTTTTACCGTAGCTGTTTTGATATTGAAGTAAATGCATATTTTAGAAACATCCCTACTTTTACAATCCTGTGGAATAGGCCGTAGGTTTAGGCAGTTGTCTGGTAGCAGAGGTACTCTAAGTAGATATCCTGGTTATCTGGCCGGCGGTAGTAACACTCGCGGTGCTGGAATTTGGCCTGTTCCAGGCGCGCTTAATTAGGTACAGGCACCGTACTAGACACGACCATGATAGTCCGATCTTTATGTGAATGCAATGATTGTGTGCAGTGTTCCGTCAGGAGACGACGAAGGCCCGACCGCGAGCGCCGAGGGGGTCCGGGGGCATGCTCCCCCGGGAAATTTTGAAATTTTAACCCTCTTAAACGCCATTTCCCGCACTCTGAGGGGCAAATAATTGTTAAAGTAAAGGTAACTTTAATGCGGCGGCAACTTCCGGATAAAGGCCGGCGGTCCTGATTCCTGTTCGCGGGGTAGGTTTGCGTCAAGAATTCCCGCGGACGAATACGGCTGAAATACGTGCACATCCATAATTTTGATCAAAAACATAATTGCTGGGATCTGACATGTTACTGGGTTCTCCTTAGCGGGAGTTCTTTATTGTTTTGATTGGTAAAACTCGGGGCAGTAAAAACACTAAAAAATAAGCGTGGCTACGCTACGAGAAACGCACGCGGTCCGTATACTTCCGGGGTAAGTGTACCTCAAACTAACGCTGAAAATGCAAAAAATACGCATAGAAATATATATTTACCCGAAAGATTCTTGAAACTATATATTTCTTCACTAGAATATCGATGTGTGGTTGTGGAAAATATCGTTTTAGCGCTTATATCCTAACAAAGAAAAGTTGTTTACACGCGCGTCGGCTCGCTCAATCTTACCGCTGGCGCTGCAGCGGCCGACGCAACAACCAATCAGAGACGCGAAATGTGGACATGTGACGCAGGATTTGCAGCTAGCTGAGGAGGCCGTGCGCGGTGCATGAGACACATTTTTGTGTCGTATTTCAAGAGATAAATGCCTGCAAATAAACTTTTCTGATGTTTGAAAATATATCTAACAAGTTTATCTTTGAATAGCCGAGTGAAAATCAAATATATATCGATGTCTGGTCCTTCGGTCCTACAAGAAACACGGTATCATTTTTTCGCGTCAAAGGACGGCTGGACGGCCGCCTGGCGGAAACACTGATTGTGTGTGTGTAATTAAAATGAACTTCGAACTTGAAGCACAGTATCTTTACACGCCCTGGGAGCAGTAATGGATTTAGCTCTTTGTATGTTTTATGCTTGTGACGCGCCCTCATTGTATTAACCGTTGCCTAATTATAATGTCTGCACAGTAGGTCTGGCGTTGACGCTTGGGATTTTGTTGAAATATATAAAACTTCACGGAGGATTGTCACCTATGGCTTCTTGTTTTATTTTATTTTTTACTTTCAAATTGGCGATCTCTAGTGATCCAACTTATACAATAAAGTTTAATACAGTAAAGCTTGCATAAGGAAATTTATATTTTCAATGTTAATGTTAGAGAACCGATTGTACAACGTTTCATCACTCCGGTGTAGAAGATCATGGAGCTAGAAAAGGTCGATCAGCTGGAAAAATTGGTCGACAGTTTTTTTTTTTCTAGGGTTGGTCGGGAAACGACATGTATATACATTGGGCCATGTTGATTTGACTATATGGATGGCATCCTCTGAGAACCCCAAAACTGATGCGAACGTGCAAATAAAAAAAGTTTGGCAAAAAAGTTTTGTCTTCATTATGAAATCTATATAGTCATGAAGGTTGAACAAATGACTTAACACAGAGTATACAGAGCCTATTATTGGTCCAGCTACCATGGTATGGCGAATAACAGTCATTTTCATTTATTCACATTTTCTTCTTTTATTGATTTGGCGTATCTGTGTGTCTGTCTGTGTGTCTGTGTGTGTTTCCGCACATTTGTAGTCAGCATAACTTCAGAAAGCTTTATGGATTGTGATGATATTTGGTATGCTGGTTTGGTAAGTCTTAGGAAGACGAAGGTCAAGGTCAAATATGGGCCTCCTGGTGGATGACCTTGGTACTGCAGTAGAACTTCCGGTTTTTGTATCTTTTGTCCTGAACATGCTATGGTCTTGACTTTTTGCTGACAGATAGCTTTTCCTGTGGGCTTGGTCCCCCTAGCAACTTGTTCTGGAACTGCAGGGGACTTTCTGGCGAAATTTTAAAAAGCCAACAAGTCCAGATAGGAACAACGTATTTTCAAAATTTTTGGTGTGTAGGTAGCTGAGAGAGAGCTGTACATAATTAAATGCAAATTATGCAAATGAGGACTTCATTTGCATGATTAAGGAGGACATTCTATAATTACAGTGTTTTATGTAATAGTACTTTTATACATGTAATCTATTTAATCTGTGGCAGTCGAAACATCAACAGATACCAATTATGCAAATGATGACCTAATTTCCATAATTAATGTGAATGTTCTGTGACTCCTTATTGGTGAAAGATGGGAATTTTATATCTTGTGACATGTGTAACTTACTTAAAGGTTAACACCACTATGTTAATGTAGAGGTCATTTGCATAATTAATGAGGACATGTTGAAATGAAGTATGACAAAGGAGAGGAATTTTACACTAAGAATATTGTCATTTGAATTTAGAAAACCATAAATTAAACCGGAAAGGCCAAAATTTTATTTTGGAGCAAAATCAGCATGGCTTCACCACACATTTTACGACATGGCATGGAAAGAAGGAGAATACAAGGGGAAACAAGAATTCGGAGATCTCATACCTCCATGAAATATATGAGTTTTTGTCCTTATTAATTATGCAAACACATTTATATTTTAACATAATATATGGAAAGTATTCAGCACTAAGATCAGGTATGTAAACTTGTGTGGAAAGTGTTCAGCACCAAGGACAGGCATGTCAACCTGTGTGGAACGTGTTCAGCACCAAGGACAGGCATGTCAACTTTTGTGGAAAGTGTTCAGAACCAAGGACAAGCAAGTTAACCTGTGTGGAAAGTGTTCAGCACCAAGGACAGGCATGTCAACCTGTGTGGAACGTGTTCAGCACCAAGGACAGGCATGTCAACTTTTGTGGAAAGTGTTCAGCACCAAGGACAAGCAAGTTAACCTGTGTGGAAAGTGTTCAGCACCAAGGACAGGCATGTCAACCTGTGTGGAAAGTGTTTAGCACTAAGAACAGGCATGTAAACCTGTGTAGAAAGTGTTCAGCACTAAGAACAGGCATATAAACCTGTGTAGAAAGTGTTCAGCACCAAGGACAAGCAAGTTAACCTGTGTGGAAAGTGTTCAGCAATAGGAACAGGCATGTCAACCTGTGTGGAAAGTGTTCAGCACTAAGAACAATATCGGAAATTCGCTGTCTTTTTAAACTAATGGTATTTTAAATGTAATGTTTTTTTATGAATGAAATGTAAAATCAACCCAATTTAGTCTTGTCAAAGACTACAAAGTTGATTGCTGAATAAAGTTTACAAGTTTACAAGAACAGGCATATAAACCTGTGTAGAAAGTGTTCAGCACCAAGGACAGGCATGTTAATCTGTGAGGATAGGGTTCAGCAGTCTGTCATAAAGAAGGAGAAAACACTGGACTCCGCTTCTCATACTTTATTCTGGGTTATCAGCCTGTTATGATTTTCCTTGTAATCCTTATGTGCAATATGCTACAGCACACGTCATCCGCCCATTATCACCAACAGGCCTTCACGTTTACAACGCTACATTGCATACTTGAGACCTTATCATGACTACACAGTGCTATCACCTTACAAGATCTATTTCATGAGTGAAGTGCGTGGATCAGAAGGGACCTTTAGCAGTTAAATGACGTACTACACCGATATGTTGACTCCAAGCTGCTCCTATTACTACAGTGATATTTTGTGCCGCTTGGGGGCGCTTTATTTCCTAGACCTGCAGTGATTATTGCGACGATGTAGATCCCTTTTGATTGGTCAATTTTGGTCTCAAGGAAATTAGGAAATCCTATGTTAGCCTCTGGGTGGATAGTGTCCAGAACTAGGGACCAACAACCTGATTTCTACCTTCAACTGCCTGCTTGATATGACTACTCCTGATGTTAGTGCATTTTCAACTCGTCGCCATGCTGCGTCCACTCCCTGCTGTGTACCTCCTGTGTTACTAGACCCGTCATACAGCGGAGTTCCCCCGCGAAGTCTCACCCGCCCCGCAAGCGTGTGGACAGCTTCTCGTACCTGTTGTGTCGCAATGTGAAAAAACGTGGCATTGCACGTGACAGGCCACATGAATACATGTTTCAGTCGCGTCATGTTGGCAAACGCCTTTGCCAGCGCAGAGACACTGAGCGCCAGCTCGTTATCCTGTAAGAAGAGTTCCTGTAGCTGCTGCAGGTGGACTAGGCTTCTGGCCATGGCCCGTCCTCCCACGTTTGTTATTGAGTTCTTGTCAATGTTTAGAAGTTGGAGCTCTTTCAAGTGAGGAAAGGTTTCTGCGATTGCTTCCACCCCTTCATCTCCTATCGCGTTATTCTTCAGATTCAACTTTGTCAGCTTACGCAGCAGGTGTAGCTGTCCAGTCAGTAATGTTGCTGCGTCAGGAGAAATTCTGCAGTTGATGAGATAGAAGTCTGTGATTTCTCCCAGGTGTGGGAAAAGGTTCACCAGTGCCTCAACGTCAGTGTCCAACAATGACAGTCCAGGTATTGCCAAGCTCATTTTGCCATTATTCGGAAGTCCTTCCGTCTTGTTCCGCAGTGCCTCCAACGCGTTCAACATGGAAGAAAAGACCTCGCTGTATGCTGATAGACCATGTGACTCCATGTAGTCACTTGTGATGCCGTATTCTATGCCATAGCCTACAGCTGTGTCCAGGGTGTGCGGGAGATCATTGTAAATTTTCCAGTACCAACACAGGAAGGGCCAGAAGAACCTGTCTTCCAGTAGGACCATCACAACCTCATTGTCCGGGTAACTTTCTTCCAAACCCGCGGCGGTGTCCTTGTTCTGCTGGAAGTACGCTCTGACGTAGAGGGTCCACTCTCTCCACCAATCTGCAAGAAATAATGAACAATAGGTTCAGCTGTACAGTAGATACCAAAACTACAGAATCAGACTATCAGTACTTATCTTGAAAGTTCATCTGTGTTAGTAGAAGTCATTATGCAGCAAGTTTAAACTGTAATTTCCAACACAAGAAATTGGACCAAATTTTCGACTGTACAACTCCAGTCTTTGTCAAGGAATAAACAATCCACCGCTTCCGTGACGTCACGCGGATAACACACGTGACTCCGTGAGCAGTGGATCATAGGCTGCAGAAAGGATTTCTTTGAACGAGGGATTAAAGAGGCCATCTACATCAGGGCATTACAACCACCCCTCAACAGAGACGGGGGGCGCAACAGACTTTCTGCAACCTATGATCCACTGCTCGCGGAGTCACGTGTCTTATCTGCGTGACGTCACAGAAGCGGTGGATTGTTCATTCCTTGACAAAGACTGGAGTTGTTACAGTCGAAAATTTGGGTGAGTCCATTTTCTTGTGTTGGAAATTACAGTTTAAACTTGCTGCATAAAGACTATCAGTACGTTGTCCCGGTGAACTTTATGCCCAGAAAGTTGTGGCTACTGATCCACGAGAATTACCTGTGGCTTCTGTTGTCTCAGAAGTAGCTAGTGACGTCACAGGCAGAAGTGCAGACGATGTTGAGGAGGTTACTGGAAGTGATGTCTGGTTTACCTGTTATAAGAAACACACCAGACGTAAGTAAGTAATTCTAATGCCATGCCAAACATTAATATAAACAATTCTACATTTAAATTGCATACATGTAAACATAATTATCATATTATGTGATTACAAAACTCGTCGTGATATGCAAATGCATAATTACGGGAAAGTATCGTACCACATTGTTTTCGTCAGGGTGGACACTCGGTACACTGTGTTGGTAGAGGATTAGGGCGACTACAGTTGCAGCAATACCAGCAAATATGATGACACCGACACAAAGCGCCACCATGCGCCCAGGATGTGATCTGCAGAACAGGCGGCAGTTCTGACTGCACCTCGGGTTGCTGTCATCTCCTACAGAACAACAAACAAACAAACAAACAAACAGGCTTCTATCACAAAGGCAGATGCAGAAGTTTAATTTGAGGTGTAAATTCCGTGTATCAGTCTTCTACTTGACACCCAAACCCACACTTGCAACTCTTTAAAACTTTATATTTCCTATATATATAAACCTAGGTATCATAGTTAAGTGGAAATGATTAATATTTACAACTGCATTCCTTTTTTTTACTGTTCAATATGAATATTGTATAAGATTCTTTATTCACACAACAAAAAAGTACAGAGACTTTTGTATGGTCTTCTACAACTTAACTAAAGATCTAACAAAGCTACATGTAAATACATGTGTGGATAACGTTATCTTGCGTACAGAGTATATGTATGATGTAACAATAAAGGTTAACTATTCTCTAACATGCGTTCTCTAAGATCGAAACATTCTTTAATGTATTAATTTTCCTATTTGAACACTGTATTGGTTATCTCCCCTGAGAATGTAGTTGCATTTATCTATAGGATAAGTACACAAACGTGAGAGTTGTACATGTTACTCACCCCTGCTCGGTTCCTTGGCGCCATGCCTCCTGTCCACCGCGTCTTGTGCTGCAAGAAAGTCGGGGTCTAAATCTTCGTACTCGTTCTCCGACGGAATCGGCTTGCCAAGTTGATCGCTGTCCATCCTGTAGAAAACTTGTTCATTTTTCTCATCGGCTGAGGTGACATTCATCTCGTAAAAGGGCTGTTCTTTTTGTTGCTTTTCTTTGGCATCCGTGATGTCCATCTTGTAAAAGGGCTGTTCTTGTTCTTCATCCGCAGGGGTGATGTCCATCTCATAGAACGGCTGAGCTGTGGCATTTTTGATCGCATCTTGTGCTGCGAGAAAATCGGGGTCCAAATCGGCATAAACGTGAGTCGACAAGTTTGACTGTTCTTCATCGTTCTCGTAAAGCGCGTGTTCTTTGTCGTTCTCGTAATGTCTGTGTTCTTTGTCGTTCTCGCAATGAGCGTGATTTTTATCGTACTGATAATATTTGTGTTCTTCATCGTTCTCATAATGCTCGTGTTCTCCATCATTTTCGTAATGCCTGTGTTCTTTGTCGTTCTCGTAATGTCGGTGTTCTTTGTCGTTCTCGTAATGTCTGTGTTGTTTGTCGTTCTCGTAATGTCCGTGTTCTTTCTCGTTCTCGTAATGTCCCTGTTCTTTCTCGTTCTCGTAATGTCCGTGTTCTTTGTCGTTCTCGTAATGTCCGTGTTCTTTCTCGTTCTCGTAATGTCCGTGTTCTTTCTCGTTCTCATTATCTCCTTGCAATTCTATCTCGCCGTTTTCACCGTTTTGCAAGACAGACTCCTCGCCATATTCTCTGACAGGCTTCAGAACTGCTTCCGGGTCCTCCCGTGCTCGCAGTGCCTGTCTTTGCCAGTCGAGGATCCGTTTGGTGCACCAGAACCTCAGCCCTGTCCGTCTGACGTACAGCGGGTCCGGCGGGCGGCAGGCGACATCGGCCGGCGGAGGGGGCGGCTCCTTCGGTCGAACCGCATCAGCTGAGGCGACTTTCATCTCGTAAAATGGCTGCCCTTGTTTCTCTGTGTCTTTGTCATCGGTGACCTCCATCTTGTAAAATGGTTGTTCTTGTTCTTCGTCCGCAGGGGCGATGTCCATCTCATAGAATGGCTGAGCTGTGGAATTTTTCAACGCATCTTGTGCTGCCAGAAAGTCGCGGTCCTTCTGTTCAACCACAGCAGGGGCAGACACTGTGGGTGAAGAGAAGCAATTCATCGGTGTAAAAATAAGTAACAAGAAACTGTCTGGATTACTAGTAAGTCATCGCTTAGCCCAAGTAAAAAGGTAAAAAAAACACGGATGTCCGTTAAACACCTAAAACATGTCCGACTTGAATCCCACATTTAATCAAAGCATGCGTCATTGTGACAATCGGCGTTTAAATTGCCCAATGTATTGCCAATGATTCTCTACACATGAATGGCAGACATGAAAGCCAGAAAAAAATGAAAGACACATTTGTTCCCACTGTACATTGCGTAGAAAATGCCGCTTAGTTTACAATAGTGGGTTGTTGTATGATCAAGCACATGTTCGCTAAGTACTATGGTTAGGTTTTGCATTAACTTACAATTGTGTACGACTTCAAAGAACAGGTTTTTCAAACTTATGTCTCTTTAGCCCATAATTCTTATACATTCATTCAGTCGCAGAGCGTTACCTGCTACGTATACTCCGTGTACTGTCGGATTTAGATTATGCCTACTACACGAGCTGCCGAATATTAAGTCGGCGTCACGTAGCAGGCAAATAACTCTGCCGACAAGTCTGCAAGCTCTAAGGCACATTTCTAGCTGGAATACGACTGGTATTCTCTTGATCATAGCACGATTCAGAATCAGTATCGCTGGTATAACCGCCCTTCGGCGTAACACACCAGCTTCGCTGGCTTAGCTATATTTTACCGAAAGACTTGTTACATCCAACCGTTGCATCTATCTACAGTTGTTTAAAGCTATCTAGTGATGATGCCCGACTGTACTTGGTGGCAGTGAGTTACGACAGTCCATCCAATGTTACCACAGCATAGATTTTCAGGCGAAAAACACGCTAGATGCTGTGCCGAATTCCATCGATCAACAAATTCGGTGGAAGGTCGATGATACTCTACAAGCAGACGTTTAGGCTTTGGCTTATTTTTGGCGTGTTTAAGGCGTTTTATCCGACTCTCTTTTTCGTCCTGGCATCTAACGGTGGCAAATGGTAAGTAACTACATGGCAAATGGATACTGCCTGTTTAATCTGATACTGTCTGCAACCCAGCCACAAAAAGAACTGCTTGGAGATTAGGTCGCTAACAGAGTGACGCCGACTTTTTAAAACAGTTGGGCATATCAGGGGAACATACTGAGTCTGGTACATATGTGCAGCTGTATGACCGACTACAAACATATCTGACAATTAACAATCAATCTTATGTTCTACAGAAATATAATATCTGTGTCCATAATATCACCAGGGTCCATAATATCGCCACCTTGAGAAACAGTGTGCCTAAAGATATTTTTACTGCAACATACTTTTGGTATGCACTCCTTCACACATCAAATGTATATACCTAGGGTATGTTGCAGTAAAATATCTTTAAGCACACTATTTCTCAAGGTGGCGATATCATGGACCCTGGTGATATTATGGACATATATGTTAGATACAGTTGTGACGTACCTGCTACTTTCCTACTTTCATAAAGTTCCGCCAATCCGTCATCTTCACTCGGTAGACCCGCTTTTGCCGAAGCCCCGGTGCTTTTTGCGCTCTCCTTCTGCACTAACGGTGGTTTCTTCTCCACTCTTTCCTGGAGTTTAAAGGGTTTTCCGTCTTCATCTTCCAAATTCCCGATCACTTCTGTATCGCGAACTTCCATAACGTCGCTTTCGGTCGTGTTGTCCTTGTTATCTCTCCCGCATGCCGTGTGTGGAAGGATTTTCCGTCTCGTCGCTTCCCTGTAGTTTTCTGCTCTCCAAGTCTAGCGCTAATATGTCTCACCCCAAGGCGATATTTTAGCACTGTTGCCATGGAGAGGAAATTCCAACCTACGTCATTTGGGCGTTGATCATGGGTTATGGGTTAAAGTTAGAGTTATTTCTTCTGAATCGAATGAGTCTGCTACCTAGCCTAAAAAATCTAACAGAGAGCGGTGGAAGGCATTTTATTTACTATAAGTAATCCTAGGCCTTGTTAGGAGACTTAGGCACAGTTGCCATATCATCATTGAAAACATCACAATTCAAAACACGCCTTTTTGTCGTCGAGAACACCTGCCTTGTGCGAAAGTATTTTCCAGTAAAGACTGTTTGATCTGTTTGTTGCCGTGAACACCCTCTTGGATATCGGGATATCAAAATAATATTATCTAAAATTGGACTCAGTAGCTATTGTTTCATTTGCTGTTCTAGGATATCAACAACATAGAACGAATGGGCAATTTCGATCGGAAGAAGTAGACTCTAACTTACATAGGCATCATATGGAAATTTATTTATTTGTCTTCGTTTAATCTTAATTTGGCCCTTAAGGTGGGCAACTTAAGAGGGCAGAAACGCGTTACATATTGTCTTCGTCAATATTTTGCTTGATAAAGATAACTCTGAAACTCCGTCTTTCAACCTTGAAAAAAAGGTGAACTGAAATCTCGCACAGGCACGTAGATGGTCGCAAGTACAGCACGTAACAGAATGTCAAGAATCGAATTTTCGAATTCGAACCCGCGCCTAGCTACTGGATTCTATTTACACAACAGCCGTCAGCGAAGCCCGAGTTTTGAGGTACGTTTTTTACGTACTCCTTGGCAAAGATGGGGATTTTGAAGAAGATAGTGATATTATACCTACTGTCGGGCCTGGTTGATGACAAGCACGAGAAGTTGAGGACTCTGATAGCTCACATGCCGCTAAAGGACGCTGTAGGACTCCGCCTAGTGCAGAAACTGCCCGTCTTCGAAACCACCAAAGACTCGCTCCGAGTTTATCAGGAAAGAAAGACACGGACGACAACTTATGCATGGGACTTTTCAGTTAGAAACAGACATGCTAGTGTGTGGATAGTGTTCAGCACCAAGGACAGGCAAGTTAGTGTGTGGATAGCATTCAGCACCAAGGACAGGCATGTTAGTGTATGGATAGTGTTCAGCAACAAGGACAGGCATGTTAGTGTGTGGATAGTGTTCAGCACCGGTACCGAA